AAGTGAATTGCCTTTTGAGATGTTATCGATAGGCAATGGCTGTGCTACTGTCCCCTTTCTCCGATACGTTTGTACTGTATTTACACTTTATTGGCTTTTCTATATGGGATTTAGGTTGATTTATCTAAAGTGTGTTCCATATGGTGGAACAGAAAATAAGAAATGGAAATCTCTTTCAATAAGTCATAGATAAGTCAATTATCTTAATTAGTGCCACCTCGCAATGCCGATTGTTAAACGTGGGCTTCGTACCGCAGAATATATACTTATATATTTATTGACTATTGCGATGATAAACGGTTGATTTCCGATTTCCGATTTCCGAAATACTTTTTCTGCACTAAAAAATTATTTTAATTAATTTAAATTCCAAAACCATTAAAAGAGAATATTTTCAAAAATACAGATCAATTGTGGAACTGTTTTTTTGGGGATACTAAAACAAATTGGTTCATCGTTTAAAGTGCCAACTCAATGAATCATATTCCAATTCGTTTATAAGCCAAAATTTATTTTGCTGCCATGTGGACAATGCCAAGCAAAAAATTAAAAGCGAAAAAATCTAACTTGCAAACTTTTCATTTATTTAATTAAGTGAATTGCCTTTTGTGTAGACAATGATTTAGCACGATTGAACATTCAAAATGAAAGGATTTGTCCAACATTGTACATTATAGAGGTACAGTTTTCTGACCAAAAATTTGTATTATCGAAGCAAATTCATCCAACAATCAAAGGAGGAAATTCCTTATTACTTCCTATTGTACTTCACTGAAATCTTCTAAAATTTAAAATAAGTGGCTCATGCACAGTTTCTGCTTTAGCTTTGCTTTTAATGCAATTAGAAATTTTAAATAAGTAATAACGACAAAGTAGAAAACATAAAAATATCTAATTCTCTCATAGAATAAAAATACAATGGAACAAACGAATCGAAAATTTAGAAAAATTTGAAAGATATAACTGATGGTTTGAAAAAGAGTTAGACAGGTTCGCGTAAGTAGGATTAACAAGCTATGAGAGAATGAGATAAGCTTGCGCGAGTAGGATTAACAAGCTATAAGAGAATCAGGCCCAGCTCGTGTAAGCAGGAATGACAGGCTGTGAGAGAATCAGATAAGTTCGTGTAAGTAGGATTTTCGATGCTTCAAAGCCTTTGTATTAGCGGAGTAGCACCAATGGCCGATGCCACTGGTGAACAACAAAATAAATTTCCTATGTGAAATCTTAAAATTGCACAAATTGAATTGGACCAAAGTGGATGAAAATGGTGCAAATTGTGGTGACTCTAATATTTCATAAATCCATAATTTTAGAAATAAAAACAAAAATAATAAATACAAAATGCCACAAAATACTTAATAATTTATACAAAAAAATTACTCGCACTTTATGGAGCAACATTATAATGATCATGACAGTCCGCATTTTGATATTTATCGGCTTTCCCGCGAGTGGAACATCTATCTTTCGGCTTTTGCGAGTAATTTTCCATCTTTTCAAATATATTTATTTATATTAATATAATAAATATTAACATAATAAATTAAAGATATATTTGTTGCAATGTAATCCTTTTTAATTTTTAAAGATTTTTTTTTCTCTGTATTAACATTTGTAAAATTTTTTAAATTTTAAATTTATAAATTTTTAATGTTTATTAAAAATATTATCTTTTTTTTTGTAATTTTTATAATTATTAATTTTATAATTAATTTTATAATTATAATTATTAAGAGAAATTTTAGTTTATTTGTCTACATAGGAAAAAAGCTGCCTTGCAAGGGTTCATTTCAATTTGTTTGGTCCAGCAAAGCCAGACGAGCGAGCCAGACTAACGGCGAATAATGAGGCCTAATAGAGAAAGAAATATGCCACCAATACTCGCTGAGTACTTATATGAACTAAAATATACATAGATAATTTTAGCCTTCTATTTTAACCGCAAAGTGGAACCAATATTATGAAATTGTTCTTGTAAAAAAAATATTATTTGTACGACAATTCCTAGCTTTTGATGCTACTAGTCACAAGAATTTACCGTAATCAACGAACGCGACGATCTGTGATGGTACTATTAATGTAAGTGGTATTTGAACGAAGATGGATGCGATCGTGTGAGATATTTGAGGAGTTCAGTCGGAAGACTATTTTCTCCGGAACTCTTATTTGCTTTAAACTTTTAGATGACAAGGATCATTTCTTGCTAGCGATTTATATCAACCATTTCGATTCAGCTATCTTTGGAAAAATAGACGAGGTGCATCGTGGTTAAATTTGTCCTCAAAAATTTCCTTCAACCTTATGAGGTGATCCTTAATAGCCTTGGCAGACACACTTACTATCTATCCCGTATCATTTCAACTGACCATTCGCCGAGTAATAATTGCTCTATGAAGAGGGCACAGATAGTTTCTTATTATCGTCTATTTGAGCGCCATCTCTATTTCTGAGGCCATATCTTTTCAATAGCGATTTCTGTTTCGCTGTCATACTGTCGTTATGTTTCTTTCTTCGATGCATCCGATAGCCAGGATCCCCCGATTCGTGCTTTAACAGCATTTTCGGATAGTTTTATGATAGCTTTCATAACCCAACCAGTGCAATTCCTACTAGCGTATCCTTCACTGAAGTGGCTGACTTTCGGAGACATTCCTAAAGCTGGCACCATTCATTTGTCGTTCCAGAGAAGTCGTTTTTATTTGCATCATTGCTTCAATAATTCAGTTTGAAATGAAATGCGTATCCGAATCTTTTTAAGATATTGAAAGGGGAATTGTTTCTCACGAGTTATCAGTTTTATGCGAATCTTCACTCAAACCATAAAATGGTCAGATCCATGAAAATTATTCGTTTTATACCGGCGCGATAAGAACGACTATCTAGCACGGAACTTTTTCAACGACGACTGACTAGGATTGCAGTCAGTTCATTTGGAGTGTTAGCTATCGGGAGTTCCATGTGATTAGATGCCCTTCTTCGATATCAGAAAATAAGCTTCTGCTATAACCAGTGAATAATAATTCAATAAAACGCTTTTATATGAAAAAATGTGCCGAAAGATCGACCTATGATCTCCAATCTAACTCGACATTCGCAAAGATTGCTTCAAACCTGGCTCCTGCCACGAAAATTTTATAACCTGATTAATCCTTGTTACTTAAAATAGAACTTCAAGTTGCGTATAGAACTTATCTCGGTCATCAAAGTGTATGCTCGAGTTTTATACGCAGATGAGTATGACGAGTTCCATGCGGAATTTTAATTGCTAATAGCATCTTCATCGCAGAAAGTTGAAATGGTCAGGAAAGATTTTGAACGTATAGGCGGATCAGCGATATATAATAGACTTGGACGATGGAAAGAGGAATGGCTTCTATTACTGTCGACGATGATATCAGATCGAGCAATCGAGCAGCTTACCCTTATAACCAGCAGAGTCAGCCTAATAAGCAATGGTGAGGGCTGTTAGAAGAAGAAGAAGCGACTCGCTTTTACTTCCATCACTAAGTGTCTTCCTGGCAAAATTTTGTCCAATCTATAAGCCAACATATCCGTTGATCTTAAAAAAACGAAATAATGGTCATCGTTTTTGGTCATTGATGCTCACTTCACTGGTTTTGTTAGCATCCGGCATATCTCATATATGCAATATTAGCTTATCAAAGCTTAAAGAGGTGTGAAAAAGAATTGAGAAAGTTATTAGGTAATTCTGACTGGATTTCAAAAAATTTGATAGATTGCATTTTGTTTTAATATTTTGGAGGTAAAGAGAGATGCGACGTGGGTGGTCTGTTCCAGACATTTCGCTTTCTTTTTTTTTTATCAACATATGCCGTTGTTCATGACTATCATGTTGGTCATTTTTCCAATCGCTCTTATCATTTTGTCTTAGAATTTTTAGGGTTTCTAATATTATGGTCGTCGTCATGGTTTGCTTGTTTATTTTGTCGTAGGCCTTCCTCGTTTCCATTTTTCTTTGCTCTTAGTGTAATATCTTTTTATAAAGGATTGTTTCTGTGCATTATTTAGCCAAAATAACTTGGCTTGAGTTTTATATTCTATATTTTAATATTTAAATGATAATATTTTTTTCTAAAATTCATTTATTTATTGTTTTTTCTTAAATTTTTATCATTTTTATCATATTTTCTTTTTTTTGTATAAAAAAGCTCTAATTTGGAAAACCTACAATTATCTTCTTTAATTCTATTTATTTCATTGATCTGTTACAAATTAAACAGAAGATTATGTTCAATTATTTTCATAGACTTTTTTTTCATTTTTTTTTCAGTTTGCTTATCAAAAATGGCGACAAGTAATGCTGAAAATGGCTTAATGTTTGGTTTTATTTAAATTCTTCAATTATTATTATATATTATTTATTGAGATATAAGGATTAATTAGGGTATAAAGGCATTCGTTTTTTTAAATTATAGAAATTTTTAAAAAATATTAAAATTTTATAGTTCATTATTTTCAAAATTTAATGCAAATGAAAAGTGAGAAATCATTTAAATTAATTCAAAATTGTTCGTCAGTTTCAAATTATTTAAATTTTTTTACAACATTTTATAATTTAAAAAATTTAATTTATAATCATTGATTAAAACTCAGGGAAATAATTCATATATTAGAAGAAGGAATTAAAAAATTGCGAATCGAGAAACCAATAATTCCTCAATTTTCAAAACAAGTACTGCAAAAAAATTCAGAGAAAGCTTTGGAAAAGGAATCGCTTGAAAGAAATTTCCAAAAATATTTGGAAGAATTGTCGCAAAAATCGCTCGTTCGTTATCATTCTTTTTCATATAATAATAGAAGCGACTATATAATTTCATTCGAATACATTGAAAAATGAATTAAAAATTTTAAATATTTTTTTAAATTCTTAAAATTTTAAATCTTTATAAAGAGTTGTTCGAACTGTTGAAAATTTTTTTAAGGAAATAGAATACTTACGAATTATTGCGAAAAAAAATGAGGAGTTTTTTATCACTATGAAAAATGAAGAAGCAAATATTATGAACAAATTGGAGGACGAAATTCGAATAAAGAAAAATTTCGAACGACAGTTCGAAAAAACGAAAATTCAGGTGAACTATAATTTATAAATGAGTGCACTATTAAAAGATAATGAAATCAATAATAATAATATGATTTAGGAGTAAACCTGTACAAAAATCCGGGTGATGCAGGTGATTCACCTGTGTATTTCTATCGCCAAGGGACTCTCTGGCATATTTGTCTAGTGTGACAAGCCAGTGGAGCGAGTTTATCCAGTAATAGTGAGGACTCTTTATTCTAGAACCCTTAATCGTATTAACTTTTGGGAAACGAATTTATAATTTATGAATAGAACTTGAATTTTTTTTATGCAAATACTTCAGTAAATTTGAATTTTAGTTACAAAATCGAAACAAAGATTTGGCATGCTCTGAACAAAAAATTTTGGTCTTCCAACAAGAACTTGAGGTCGAAAATAATGCTATCGCAGAGTTTCATAAGCAACCGTTAGCTACACCATTAAGTATTTCTAAAAAGATTGAGGGGAATACAGAAATCACTACCGCTGTGGATAGAATGGTTAGAGATTATTTTTATTTTTATTTAATTTTTAATTCTGTTGCATACAAAATCATTTCTTATATCGTATAAGTTGGGCTTCTATTTTCTTATTATGGCAATGATTTTTTTTTCTAGAAGCCGTCACCACTCTCAGTTTGGGTAGCTCCAGTGATTTTGTACCAGAGGGTTTCTCAAGGATATAAGTGCGAGTTGGCTTCTAGCCCCATGTTGGTTTCATTTTCGATGACAGCTTTACTCGCGTTAAGAAGCAAAAATCGAACTTGCGATAGTTTGATTTTTGCCACTCAGTAGGCCATAGGACAACTCCGACCCTAATTAGGAATGGTTATAGTAACCTTGTTATTATTTAATCTGTTTATGTTTTTTCATTTTTTTTTTTCAAAAAAATTTTTTTAAGGTGGATTTTGAGCGGAAATACAAAATTCTGGTTGTTGAATTGAAAAAAAAGAATGAAATTATTTATGAATTGAAACGGAGTTTGGAGGAAGAATTTTTTCAAAGAAATGAACTAAATCAACTCCTCAGAAAAGCTCAAAATAATTTTCAAGTTCTTTTCATTCTTATTTATTCTGGCCTAAATATTTTGAATGCATAATACCATTTGTATACTATCTAAAGAATATCAACATAAACATAGACATTATAAACATAACGTCTCAGAACATCGTTTAAAAGGCAAACAGATATCTGATAAAGTTTGCATTCATCTTTTATTTTTTTAATATTTTACATATTTTTTTTTTCATTTATTAATATTCAGCTCATCGAAGAGGGCTTGGAACTTGGAAGGAATCTTGTCCTACTTAAAACACAGAATGATCAATTCACGACACAACTAGAGGAGAACGAGAAAAAAATTGAAGAACTTAAACAAAAAATTTTTTTACTGCGTAATCAGACGAGAAAAGTCGAAGGTATAAATAAAACTCTTTTTTTGAATTGATTTTTCTTCTTGTTTTAACAATAACTGTTTTGTAAAATGTTCAGGAGGCATAGACTTCTATTTGCAAACTGAAATCTCAAGACTGCGCATCAGAATTGCTGAGCTTACTGAAAAACTGGCCAATCAAGAATCAAAGATCCCTTTAGATATAGATAACGATTCTGCTTTCTGTAATAGAGTATGCTGCTTAAAAAGTTTAATACGGTTTGCATTTTTTTAATCCTGTATAGACCAAATAGAGAAAAAATCCAAAGACCTTGCGCGATTTTTCGTGAAAGATTTGCGATAATCCTATCCTGTGTTTTTTATTCTTCTTGCATTATAGACTATTTTTGACTTGCATTGTCCACTAACTTTTGTTGAAAAAAATAATTTAAACAAACATTTTCGCTTGTCGCAGTTCAAAAATTATTTTGTAATTACCACTGAATGGTCCAAAATTTGCCATTTATAAAATTAAGATAAACAATTAAAAGTAGAAATATCTATGGGGTTTAGATAATGAAATTTCGTTTTTATCAAAAATTTTCCATAAATATTTCAAATATTTTTTCTACTCTTTCGTATTTAGAAAGGACATTAAATCATTGACTGAGAAAGTGGAAAAAACTTCGAAAGAACGGGATGAAATTTTATATAAATTTATACACTCAAGTATACGATATCTGCGTATGGCAAGCAGACTTGAAGGGCTTGAATATGAATTAAAATCTTTAAAAAAAGAGTTTGGAATTCAGGAAAGTGGCTGTAATAGACAAGAAATCATTAAAAGTACTGAAACTATTTTTCAATTATTTCATTTTTTTCTTAACTGTAAATTCATTAAAAAATTCGAAAAAAAGACCGATCATGAGGGAGAAAATAAATAAATACTATATTTCGTTTGGATTTATCTGAAAAATGCGGTTCAAATTCAAATTTCTAAATTTTTTTAAATTTTTAAAGTCATAAATTGGTAAATAATAATGGTTATAAATTATTACTCAGATTTGTTGAGTTATTATATCAAATAATTAGAAAGATTTGTATAAAGATAAATATCTCAAATGAACATGGTAGCACATATCTCTCCTTGAATTTCATGAGTTCAGTTTTGTCAACTTCTGATTGTGGTTCGATATTGGTAAATGGCGATGGAAAGAATAAAGGCAATTTAATTTCAGTTTTTTTTCCATCAATTTTCTCAATTTATATTTTTTATGTTTCTTTATTTTTACAAATTATTTTAATTGAAAAATTTCAACAATTAAGATAAGAGATGGGTATTTTAAGAAATTCATGTTCTAAACAGTTTTTTTGCTCTTTATGCAGAAAATATTATTTGAAATAGTTGATCGAAAAACGAAATCTTCAGCGAAGCAATGATTTTGGTTTATTTAGACAATGATACGAACAGTTGTGGAATCCTGCCGCGAACAAATTTGAAACGAACTTTGAACATTTATGAAAATGGAATTATACCACTCGAAAAACTCATTATGTTAGCGAAGGTAACGGATAGGCTTTTTTATTGACTGTTTTATAATTTCTCAATTTATTTTATTTTTTCTATTTTTCTATTTTTAGCGTCGGAAGGAAACGGTCACTACGAATCAATTTCCGAATATTTCTTCGATTAGTGAAAAACATTCGTCACGTTTGAGATTTAAGAGGAAACATTTTCTTAATGTGAGTTCTTTTATTGCATTATAAATTCCTTTGTTACAGGAAAATTTCACTGTTTTATTGTAAATATCACAGTTTCTTTTAATATGTTGAATATTGAATATTGAAGGCATATTTAATCATTATTTTCCAATATCGCTTTTATTTATTCAATTTTTCAATTAATTCAAATCTATTAAATAAGCGGTCAGTTTTCACTATTACTGATTAGGGTTGTTATTTTATTTGAAATTCCTGTTAGGGGGCCAGCTGCGCATGGAAACAAATGCATGTGGATCCTCAACACCACTCGAATTTTTTGATGATACCTTCACTGCTCGTTTTCGAGGCAAAGTTCAAACCTTGAGATGATAATTCTATTATCCCTCCTGATTTCGCCAATAAAATATAGGTATACAAATTGCAAATTGCAAAGCATCAACAATGCAATAAGATATCTATTACCGAAAACACCATTAAATTCAATGAATGTGAAATTAAATAAGACAAAATATTTAAGATTTTACAGAGATTCGGCAATTATAATTTGATATCGTTATATTTTTATCTTTCTTCTCACAAAATTCATTGATAAGTGCTATTTTTATCTTATAAGAAATTTCAAATAAATTAGATAACAATATAAAACAAACTGTAGAAAATCTGTAGGAATAAAGGGAGGTCAACGAATTGCCAGGGATAACATTATGCAAAACTGATTAGTGAGTATTAGATGATTTTTTAGATGGCTATGGATGCGGCTGATGGCATGTTTTGCAGCAGTGATACTTTTTCTGATAGCTCAGAAACGCTAGAAAAAAAGAGTAGGCCAAGTTTCTGATTTTCTCTAAATTTTCTTTATTGAAACATTCAACCGAGCAGTATTTACCAATTTGTTTCTTTAATTGCTAAAATAATCAACAAATATCTGTTTCATGTTTTTTTACTAAGTTTCTTTTTTATACTAAAATTTTAACGATTTTATGTTCGTTGAAATATTGAAATTATGAAAAATATTTAACATCTCGAAATATCTCGTGGCTTTCTCACGCTTTGAATATAGATTTAGTTGGGTTGGATGCTTAATAAGCCTTAAATTATACTTATGATATGCTTCTAGTTATAATATAAATGATTGACACTTACCATACTTGACTATATTTGGTTATCCTTGCAGTGGCAGTGGCATTTAGAAGGATAATTTTGTTGAAGTATCATGTGAGAGTAAAAAATAAAGATGAATCCTTAGCATCACCAGGATTTTTTAATGGCAGAATTGTGAGCTTAAAAATGATAATCTAGGCAATACACATGCGTCCTACAATAAAATATCTCTTTTTAGAAGTTTTCTTTCTAAAATTTTTCTTTTTTCGATTTTTAATATTTTCTCGATATTTTTTTTGTGGATAATCTTTGAAATGCTAATATTTTATTGTAAAACATATATTGAAGCTGTTATACAACATGAAAATCATTTTCATTTATCATCGTTAATTTCTGTAATTTATTTGAAATGTTAAATGATTGCTTATCTTTAAATAACACTGGTATATAAATCCGTTTCAAAATTTTAGAAATTTTGGAAAATTTATTAAACAAAAAAAAATTACAGTAAATATATATCAAGACAGCATGTGAAATATGGAAGCTAAATATTATATTGAAGCTATTTTGGAAATAATATTAACATTGGGAGTTCACTGAACGAAAGGTTCCTTCCTAGAAGTATATAGAAAAGCAACAGAAAGAAACGAATTGCCGTACTATCTATAACTGTGAAAAGATGAAGCCAATGGTCCGTACGATTAAATAGATGGATTGCAAGAATTCTTACAACCTTTCTATTTAATCAATTATACATGAACTAATGTTAGAAATTAATATTTTAAAGAAATTATCATGAAAAAACTATGGAAAAAAAAAGAAAAAACGAAGAGAATCATTATATCACTATAATAACATATTTGTATTACAAATAATTCTCATTTAGAAATAGGTCAAATTTTAAATAATAATTGGAATGCAACTTTGAGAAAAACGATGAACAAATATTCAAATGACGATATCACAAGAATGGAAAGATTAATGCGAATAACATTAGCAGAAAAATACTTCTTGAAATCGGTTGGCGAATATTATTACAATAATCATGCTCATAGCAAATGCATACTTCTCCATCACCGGTACGCGATACATGGCAGCCGGACGGTTCCAGTTGGTATGGCCTTAAATTTTTTATTTTTTACATTTTTTTCATTCTTTATTTTATATTCAAGCCATGCATGTAAGCATATATGGCTAAATGGCTGGTAACAATTAGCAAAAAACAAGTATATTTATTCATTAATTACTGTAATTGCTTACGAGAATTGGCTTCGATTTAACTCAAAACAATATTCAAAAAGTTATATCGAAATCGGGGCAGAATGCCAGTTTTTGAGTGGAAAAAATTATTATCTTATGGTCATTTAACTAAGGTAAAACTTTTTCTCGATTTGTTCATCGTTTACGAATGTCAGTAGGCTATTATTATCGTTTTGAGCAGCCGATGCTAAGGTTCTACTCTCACGAGTACCTTCAAAAAACTCAAGAAATGTGGTGAACTATCTGTACCTCCAAATGGCTCTCTGGTAAAAATTTATCTCGATCGACAAGTAGATAGTTGAACGAGTCTAATTAGAAATGGTTCGTATAAAAAAAATCACATTCGCGGAATATTATCGTTTTATTAAAGTCGTCTTAATAAAATCGCTCACAAAATTTTACCAAATGAATCTACGATATTTTTGAGAGAAAGAAAACCTTGTAGCATATGGAAGGCAAGTAAATGCGACTGCATGATTATGATCTATCTTGAAACTTTGTAGGCGAATACACGCAACGCCACTGCATTCGGCACAGTCTCCATTTATTAAACAATCCGCTCCATCGTAACATATCAACGATGCTTGAAATATTTTCTTATATAGAATTAAGTAAAATAATAGATGGAATGGATAAAAGTTGTTTTAAAAAAAGCTGATAATAAAATAAACTTATTAAAATTTTTTACTAGTATTAAATGGAAAAGCGTTATTAACGATATGATAATGTGATAACGATCATAATTCTTAGAATCATGATGAATCATGATGAAAATGATAAATGATATAAGTAATATAATAAATAAATCTCCATTATCCTACCTCCAACTATGAAAATTAACCATCTAAAATCTTCAAATTATTAAGTTTTAATCAGCTACTCGACAATTGAAGTAGTTTATCAAATATTTACTATTCTTGTCCATATCAAAAAAATTTTTTTAGCACAATTATTATTATAGCTATGAATATTAGAGATTAGTTCATCAGGTTTTACCGAATATAAATTTTGGTATATTTTGTAAACTACAAATCTACTCCTATAAAATATTGTTCCTATTGTTGTTCGACACATTCAACATCCAAAAAATTTTTTTCCTCAAATTCTTTTATTGCCTATACGATAATGTCTTCAACGAATCAAGAAGTTCCATCGGATTTTGTATCCTAAGCTTTTTCCTCTTAAACTTTTAGTAAAAGCAAAAAAAATTGAAATTTTTAACAAATTTGTAATGAAAAAAATTTTGCATGACTATAAGTTATACAATTTCTGTGGATTTTTTTCTTAAAAAAAATATATGTTAATCATTAAAAAATAATCAAAACGTTTTTTCTTTTTATATGACAAATTTTTAAAAAATTTTTTTCTTAAAGTTTATGGCATATTTTTAAGTTTTCAAAAACAATGCATAATGACAGTTGAACATTAAATAAAAAATTCAATTATGGCTGAGTTTGGAAAAGTTGTCAAAAACTATTCATCCGTTATACGATTATGCTTGTTGCCAATTTATAATTATTATTGCATGAATATATTATATAATTCATATCAAAAAGTATTGAAAATTTTACACGCATTCAAATATTTTATCATCCGTTTATATTTTATTATATTTTATTTATATATATATATATTTTTTTATTTTATTATCATTTATTATTTATTTATTTTATTATTATTTATTTATTGTTTTTATTTTATTTTTATTTTATTTTATTTATATTTTATTTTTTATTATCCGTTTATATTTCCTTTTTTTTTTAAATAAATTTTTAAGCTTTCTAATTTCTCCGATGAAATTTCATTAAATATTTCACTTATCATTATATCATTGTTTTGATAGAAAAAATATATAAAAAAAAGTAATTATTGGTTTAATTAATTTATATTTAATAAATAGGCATAAATATAGATAGAAAAGCTTATTTAATTTTTCTTTAATATTTATTCATATCAATCGAATAGAAATCGAATCAATACTGCTAACGGTTAACCAAATTGCTTATTTACTGATAACGAATATAATGTATCATAAATTATATTAGCGTTGACTTTGAAAATTTAAATTTTTTTTCACTAATATTCATTTCCTCGGAATTTCATAGTAATTGTATGGTATAAATTTTATTTTTCATATTTCTTATCTCCAAACATTAAGAAGTTTTCTTCAAAGATTCGAAATTGAATTAACTGTCCATATTAGTGTGGAATATTTCAACTAAATCGCCTAAACTTTATTATGAAATTATTTTTATTTTTAATAAAGAAATTAAAAATAGGTTCGTTATTTTTTTCTGAATTAGAATAAATTCACAATTAATATTGGAATCTAATTGCAATACATATCGTTATTTTCCATTCGGATTAAAAAAATTTTAGGTTAGCGATTAATTGAAGCAGTAAACTTAGAAATAAAATAGAACATAGAATATAATATGGAAGAAGAAATTCTCGCTAAAGTTCTTTTTAGAATGAAATCCTCAAATAGTAAATTTTAAATAACGATTAATTCAGAATTATTTTAAAATTTCAATGAGATACATTTTATTTAAACGTTAGTAAATTGGGTTTTCATTCTTGGCACAACTTAATTTCTATCTAAAAATTCGCGTAATGTTGGCTATTCATCTATATTTTTAACGTAAATCTAAGCCTAAACCTAAAGCTAAGCCTAAGCCTAAGCCTATAAACATTCAGATTTTGATAGTCATATTTTATTTTACAAGTTTCATTTCAGATTGATTTACGAGTAAACAACACAAAATTAATTTTCGGTCACAGATCGTTTGTCAAAAATAATTAAATTTATTTATGCCTACGATTTTAAAAGCGAATGATTTTTGTTGAAAAATGACACTTATTCTTTTCTCAATTAATAATGAAATTCATTCATAAGATTTCCATGATCTTCGAAATGTTAAAATTATATATGCAAAAAAAAAATCATAATTGATAATCATAATCATAATTGATAAGGAATTTCTTTTTCTTTTTTTTAAGAGCACAAACTATTCTCCGCTGGCTTGTTGAACTAGAGAAATGCAGCCAGTGAGCATCTTGGCAATAGAAATACAAGCGAATTGCCAGCAGAGCTCGGATTTTTGCACAGATTTACTCCTATCAGAAATTCAGCGACGACGCTTAGAATTGACCCACTGAGCCATTCTATTTTCCTTCGCTTTCCTCCATTAGGAGACAAGGTCGGCAGTCCGAGTCTCGATTCTCGGTGAGCCACTGACGCAATGTTAAGTAATTAGTTTGTGCATTAATCAAATTTTTGATAACTGATAACTGATAAAAGAAAATGGAATAATTGCGAGGAATAACCTATATATTTCTATTATACTTTTACTTTTAAGATTTTAAACATATGAGAAAAAAGTTTTCGTAAAAAAATTATTGTTCTAATAATATAATTAATAAATTATTTAACGTGATTAGAAACTAGTAGAAAGTCGAATAATCTCCATTAAAAAAAAAAAAATCCTTCGCAGGCAATAAATCTTCCATCTAATCAAAGTTCTTTCCTCATTTTTTCATACATTTCATCTAAGAATCTTAATTAAATAGCGATAAAAATTAATTCAAATAACAATGTTTGGCTTCATTTTCTATATATACATATATACGTCTATAATTTATGGCAAATGATTGATAAAAAATGAAAGTGCCATTTATCATCTATAATGGTGATGAAAAAAACAAAAAAAAGCCTATAATAGCGAGAAGATTTTATCATTTTAAGAGGCTCATAGAGCTATTATCATTTTCTCAATAAATGATAAAGAAGGATCACCTGAAGGATATTTTCATAAAACGACGCTCTAACGAAAAATGATTTCATCCTAGCAATATCAGATTGGCAATTCAATGCAGAAATAATGCACTATATCAAATTTTCTCCTTATCAAAACCGTTTTAATATTGCCTGCAGTACAAATTGATAGTGGTTTATTTGCCAGTTTATCATCGTTACTTTACCGTACTGCTATAGAAAATAATATTAAGCATATTATAAAAAATATGCTCATAAAGCACCATTAAATGAACAAATCAGGCTGCTATATTAAATATTAAAATATTAAAATATATTATATTAAAATATTGAAAAAGCTTTACGATGCGAAAACCATTAATTCCTTTAAATCCTATCATAATGAATGGGATTTTTCGATGTAAAATAAATTAAAAATTTATTTCTTTCATTGTATTGTATAAGAAATCATATACATATCCTTGTATAAAATATATTTTTTATTATTTAAATTCTTTATTATTTGCTTGGCCGCTTTATAATAAGCATTTAATCGTATGTTAATCGTTAATCCTTCTAATTCTACCTTTTTCCAGTCGCACTTTTCTGGTTTAGCTAAATTATTCAGTTCTTCTATGGTAAAGTTCATTTCGGTAAAGAATCGCTTGAAGTTAGAGAAATACGAACAATTATCTTATCTTATCATCAACAATCCTAAACATTAAATGTTGAAATTAAATTAATGTTAATTTAGAGGATTTTTTCCTTCCTAAGAGTCCTCATCATTACTGGTTGAAATCGCTCCACTGGCTTGTCGAATTGGACAAATATACCAGGGTATCCCTTGGCGATTGAAATATAGGTGAATCGCTAGCATAACCCGGATTTTTGGACAAATTTACTCCTGCAGGGAATCGAACCATAACATCAGCGCTCCGAATGAGCAACAACCCATTGAGTCATTCTATCCGCATTTGGAGGATTGCTTATGTTTAAGTTTCACTCATAGAAGTGGCAAATATAAGAGGTGGCAAATTTCACAATAAAATTGATTCCAACTTGAAAAAAATCCTATAGTTTTTCGCATAATTTTGCAAACGTTTAATTCTTTCAACGCAAATAGAAATTTGATTATCTTTTTTTTTTTTTAAATCAATTTTTATGTGAATTTTCTGGTTGGAAAAAAAAATGAAAAAAATTTGGCCAGTTTAACCAGTTTGACCTCTGTTTAGATATTTGCTTGTTTCTTTATTCTCTTCGCATAAAAATTAATTTTAGAAGACTTTAAAAATTAAAATAAATTCACAAAAATTTATTGATAAATTTTATAAATTTATAAAGAAATAAAAAAAATATAAAAACTGAAATTTTTATATTATGAAATATAAAATTTTTTAATTTTTATAATTCATATTAGCTTCGCTTTTTCTATTTCTGTATTTTCTTAGTTAAATATTTAATTTTTTTTTTATAATTTTTAATGTAATTTATATAATAAAAAGAAAAAATTTATTAATTATGAAGTCTATGAATAAATTTTTTTTTTACGTATTTACATCGCATTTTGATGAAATAATTCATTGATGCGGAAAAGAATGACTTAAAATTATAATAAATATTAAATAATAATAATAAATAATAAAAATAAAAAAATAAAAATAAAGAACTGGAATATTTTTTTAGCTTTTAGAAATTTTTTCATATGAAAAATATGAATAAAAAAAAATTTTTTTAAATAAATTTAATAAAATTAAATTAATAATATTGAAAATTAGCATTAGAATTTTTTTAAATATAATTATCTAATTATTTTAAAAAATATAATTATTTTAAAAAAAATTTTTTTTTTCAATTTTTAAAAAGCACATTGTTGAATGTCTTAAAAGACGAAAAATATTCATCTATTAAGCACTTAATTAATTTTAAAAGCCTTCTAAAGTTAATTAATTTTCCTCCATTAGAAACGAAAGAATTCGATTTCAATTCAGTTAAACGTTGATCAATACATACATATATTTTGTCTAAAATTAATCGTATTTTTAGTAAAAATAAAAGAAAAGAAAATTAAAATAATTTTCTTAATTTTATTC